GATCAGGTATGTACTTCAGGAAGGGAATTGCTGATCACGTTAAGCATGGTTTGGATTAGGGGAGAAATCAGAAGACAGACGAGTCAGGAGGCTGTTGGAGGAGTGTTGTGAGGGCCACAGTCTTTATGGTGCAGTGACCATATTCCTAATTTCCAGGGAACTTTTGACATGGTGTGCTTTGATCTTGTATTTGATGCTCTCCTTCTTTTGTCATAAAGCCGGCAAAAAGACAACAGATGAGGAGCTGGAGGAGATGTTGGAGAGTGGGAACCCTGCCATCTTCACTTCCGGGGTGAGTGACTTGGGAGCTGGGACGCACGCCCCTCCACAGAGGAGGGGAGCCACTGGGGAGCTCCACGCGGGCAGCGAGTGGAAGGTGGGCTGCAGGTGCGGGGAGGCAGGGGGGAGCTGGGCGAGGCTGCAGCGGGGGTGGGGCTCATGCAGGTCCTTGGCCTCTTGTAGATCATTGACTCCCAGATTTCCAAGCAAGCCCTCAGTGAGATCGAGGGACGGCACAAGGATATCGTGAAGCTGGAGAGCAGCATCAAGGAGCTTCATGACATGTTTATGGACATCGCCATGCTGGTGGAGAATCAGGTAACCGGCGTGGTCCCAGCATCGTGGGGAGGAGAGGGAAGCTGAGGGCCCCCCGAGGAAGGGAATGCTGGAAGCCAGGTGTGGTGGGACAGTCATCGGGAACGTGCGTAATGGAGAAACAGAAGCCCAGAATCCCAGAGGAAGGATGCACTCTTGACTGCTGATTCTCAGGGCAGCCTCAGCCTCGTCATTCCTGCCTGGTACTTTGGCTGCAGTCATTTCTCATTAATATGGGGTTTGATGTGCTCTGTCAAGCACCTAGTTCCCTCTGGCTTCAGGATCTCTTTTTATTTGTCTTTTAAAATTAGAGGTATAGTTTCTTAATGATGATACCTTAAAAAAAACAGACCCCTGATATGAACTGTTTCACTGGTGACATTGAAAACATGTGATCTTTTCCCCAGTTCACAGCAAAAAGTTAGGCTTAACAGAGGTTTTAGTTTTTTTTCCAGTTTTGTTTTTTCTTTCTGTATTTTTCCAAATCGTTGGGATTTTTTGTCAGGAGCAAGAGCAGACAACAAAATGAAGGAATAGCAAAATAATATTTACAGAAAGACTTGAGACACTCATGGTGCTTAGTTTGACAGCTCGTTTCGTCCCTGGGGACACTCGTCAGGGCTGTGAGTCTCCACCCTTTGCATATGGTATTAGTTTCACACAGTCAGACACTCCTGGTTCCTCAGATGCACCATAGTGTCACGGCTTGTGCCACCAGCACTGTGACCCTCCAGCTGCTCTGCCACCTGGAAGGGATTGCAGACTGCCTCCTTTGCGGAAAGACTGCAAAACCCAGTTGAAGCCCGAGCACTGCTTGACTGGTTGTTGACATCAGCTCCCTGCTCGGGGCTCAAGGGCCTTTCCTCCACCCGCTTCCTGGCCTGTGAGTCATTTCTCCAGTCCTTCCATGCCCATTCTTCTTTTTTCTCCCCACACTGCCTTGCCGAGGAACTGGTTTGAGGTTCAAGTGGTGGTAAGTGCCTTTCTCTGTTTACAGACTGCCATACAGTGGTGGGTGGGGTTGAGGAAGGTCTAGGTACATGAGGGGGATTCCCCTCCTAAGAAGCCCAGATGTTAACTGGAATGACGGAACTTCCGGTCAGGAAGTACTAGCTGGGAAATGGTTGGGAATCTTGTTAGGAGACTACTGTCTCTTAGCCGAATAGCTTAGATAGACCCAGTGTCTGGCACTTAAGGGGCCTGGGAGTATCTCTTAGAGGAAGCACATGTTCCCAACCTGAGATGTGTGCCAGGCACTATTCTATTAGTAGCGAACACACTCAGTTCAGGCCAGGTGAACTTGGTTCAGGTCCGAATGAC